GCCTCAAAATTATCCTCCAATTTGAAGATGAAGGTATAGAAATTAGAGTTTTCCTACGTAACTGAAGGGGCACCTGGGTGGCTCAGTCAGTTGAGCGTCCGACTCTTGATTTCGGCTGAGGTCATGATCTCATGGTTTGTAAGTCTGAGCCCTGACGTGGGTTCTGTGCTGACAGTGTGAAGCCTGCTTGGGATTCTCTCTCTTCCTCTCTCTCTCTCAAAATAAATAAGCATTTAATAAAAATAAAAATCTTTAAAAAATATGTAACTGAAAGTATTAAGTGGATAAAGAAATGTATCAATCTTTAAAAAATATTTTACCTTCTCTTGCTTAGACTGCCATGGTTTTAGGGACACAGAAACATTGGTAACTCTGCTTTCTGACCAAGTGAGAAAGGACACAAATTTTAAAAAATAAAATGAGGGGCGCCTGGGTGGCTCAGTCGGTTGAGCATCCGACTTCGGCTCAGGTCACGATCTCACGGTCCGTGAGTTCAAGCCCCGCGTCGGGCTCTGGGCTGATGGCTCAGAGCCTGGAGCCTGCTTCCGATTCTGTGTCCCCCTCTCTCTCTGCCCCTCCCCTGCTCATGCTCTGTCTCTGTCTCAAAAATAAATTAAAAACATATAAAAAACTTGAAAAATAAAATGAAATAAAAGGGATCAGGACATATACAGGTGTTTGGCTAAACTGGGATCCATAGGGGAACTTCGAATTTTACACTGGGCGTTCACATGGCTAATGCACACAGAAAAAGGAAATCATGCTGGATTTTACCTAATCACAGTAAATGCATCTTTTAGACCCAAAACTTTCTCCAACGCTGAATTTGAAAAGAATTTTTAATTGAACTCAATCCAAACACCAGTTTGCCTGACGAACGCCATGTTTGAAAAGGGCCATTTTAAGAAAACCTGGTTGTAAACCGTCAACTGTTCAATCAATGAAAGCATTTCTGCAGGGAAAACGACACACCACAGTCCAGCTCTCGTTTTATACTGAGCTCGCTCGATACAGCCCGGAAGGCAGTCACCATGTCCTGTGCATTACAGGCAGGCCACGGTCAAACGTTCTGCAGTGGATGTTCTACGTACTGGATGACCACTCTGTTCTCTCCCTTTCTCTCACCGGCACCCAGCTTCATACCGACGGACGGCCTACTGTTTATGTTCCTTAGCAACTGACAGCAAGGGCCCCTTGAAAGCGAACAAATACCTACGAGGAGATGAACCATCAGGGTCAGGGCCAAGAACAGTGCGGTGCTTAGGGATCTCACGCTGGATACTCTGCCCCTACTCTGAGAATGGGCAAGGGGGGCCCCACGTCAAGACGACAGAGCCCGCCAAGGCAATTCAGGCAGCTTCCAGGAGCAAGGAGGCTGGCGGGGCGCCAGGGTGTACTGGGGCTGGGGCACAGAAGGGCTGTGGCAGGCCGCATGGTTAGCCTCAGTCACAGAGGCTCCAGGGGAGGGCTCCCTGTGACACCAGACATGTGGTTAGGCACAGGGGCTCAGCAGTAGCATGACAAGTGGGGTGACCTTGGGCGTGTCATTTATCCCCTCCAAGGATCGATTTTCCCTTGGTAAAGGGGGTTTGATATTAATCCCTGGTTTACGGAGTGGTTTTGATGATTAAATAAGCTAACCTGCACACAGTGCTCAACTCATCATAAATGCTCAATAAACGTCAGCTATCGTCGTCACGAGAAGCAGCAAAGAACTGGTAGGGGCTGGGTTATCCTTCCAGGCGGGGGCCCATGTCCCCTTGGCAGAGAAGGGAGGGGAACACGGGAGACAGAGAAGGCGGCTGCAGGCCCACTGGCCACACTCTAAAAACACCTCACAAAAAACCCAAAAAAGCAGCAGTCATGTAAATAAAGCTTTCACTGGCTTCTAGTAACACCAATCGGTGAGGATGTCAGATATGTATTTAGTGCTTACTAGGGGCCAGGCACTCTGCTGGGCGCTTTACATGCATTGCATCCTCGATCCTTCCAGCGATGCTGCAGGTCGGTATTATCAGATGACAACGTACAGGTGAGAAGAACAGGTGTCAGAGAAATTAAGGAACTGGCCTGAAGTCGTTGGACACGTTTGGGAACAAGGGCACTGAGGCTCCAATCACTCACACCGAGGCACAGGGGACACACTATTTCCACGCCCTACTGCTTGTGGGGAAAAGGCAGCTGCTGTCCTATTGGGGCTGAACCTTAGGACAGCAGAGGACTCTTTTTTTTTTTTTAATTATTGCTTTTTATTCCTTTTCTTAAAAACATTTTTTTTAATGTTTATTTTTGAAAGAGATAGAGTGTGAGTGGGGGAGGGGCAGAGAGAGAGGGAGACACAGAATCCAAAGCAGGCTCCAGGCTCTGAGCTGTCAGCCCAGAGCCCGATGCAGGGCCCGAACCCGGGAACAGTGAGATCATGACCTGAGCCAAAGTCGGACGCTCAACCGACTGAGCCACCCAGATGCCCCGGGATCATTTTTCTGAGAGCAATATGCCATTTGCTTATTTTCTTTCTGCCTCAGTTTTCCTATCTATAAAACGGGTTCCAACTGTTTACCTTCTTCACACAAATATAGTCAACCTGGGTGAGCACTTTAAAACAGTCTGGAAATCCTGGGTTAAAGTCACTACATAATTATTGCCTGCCTCGTACATTCATGCTGGCTTAGAAAGGATGTAATTTTAAACTAATCGTATAAATAAACTATGAAACATCATTCAAATGTCTACTCCCTTGTATCTGACTTTCCCACATCTGAGCATTTACTTAAAAAATGAGCAAACATTACAGAAGCTAAGCCAGTGGGTTCAGGTGACAACGAATGAGGTTAAGCATGAGGAAGCACTTCTGGTGGGAGGTCCTGGGGAGAGTGCGTCCTGTCTCAGACTCTACAGCGTATCCCTGTGGGCTCCTTCTTTGTAAAAACCGAGACCCTGGGTCCTGTGCTTTTCCGCACTCCCGCTGCCCCCTGAATCTCCTCAGGACCTCTTCTCCCTGCCCCAAAGATGAAGGGCACCCACGTGCTTTTATCAGACTTGTAGAAGAGGAACAACGGAGACGCGTCAGACGTTGGGTTTGTGTTCCTCAATCAGATTTGCACAAGGTCAGAACTCCGGCTGATGATATTCATAGGTATCAGCATCGTCTGAGATTACAGACCATTCCTTTTTTTTTTAATGGCAGATTTACTGATACCTGATTCACATACCTTATAATCCACCCACGTGAAGTACACAATTAAATGGTCTTGAGTGTACTCACAGAGGCACGCAACCATTGGAATGATCGGTGTTAAGACATTTTCATCACACCAAAAAAAGAAAGCCGGTAGCCTTGAGTGGTCACCCCTCACTCTTCCCCACGCTCCCCAGCCACCGGCCCCAGGAAACCACTAATTGAATTTCTGTCTCTATCGAGAAAGGACGGGTGTGGATGACCGTTCCGGTTTCTTCACACCAACACTTGTCATTGTCTGTCTTTTTGGTCGCAGCCATTCTAGTGGGCTTGAAGTATGTGGTTTTAATTTGCATTTCCCTGACATTGAGCATCTTTTCATGTGCTTACTGGCTGCCTGAATGTCTTCTTTGGAGAAATGTCTATTCAGATCCTTCACCCATATTTTAATTGGGTTATTGGTCTTTCCATGAGTGAGTTGTAAGAGTTCTTTACGTATTCTAGATGAGACAGTCCCTAGTCACCTGTATGATTTACAAATAGTTTCTCTAATTCTGTGGGTTGTCTTTTCGTTTTCTTGATGATATCCTTTGGAGCACAAAAGATTTTCATTTGGGTGGAGGCCACGAGCTGGTTATCCTTCCACTGCCTGTGTTTCCGGTGTTACACAATTACAATTTGCACCGGTTCAGATGCTGAATCATCGCGTAGCGTCACACGTAGCCCGTAAGGCTCTTTCCTACCCTGTTTCTGCCCTTCAGGCCCACAGGTCTGTCTTCCCCTCTCACCTCAGCAACAGCCACGGCGCCTTTCGGTGACCCGTGGCGTGCTCTCGCTACGTCCAGCGAGAGCCGCGCCTCTGCAGCGACCTCGAGCCTAGACTCCTCGGGGGCCCGAACTCCAGGGTCATGTCCACGACAGGGCCTGTCTCCACATCCCCTGTGTCCGCAGCAGTGCCCCTCCCCAACACAACTGCTCTGAGTCTCGCTCAGAGCCCCCTGCCCTGATCACCCACCCCGGGCACGCCTGGTTCGCCTCACCCGCTCCAGGTTCCTCTCCTACAACAGAACTCACTTCTGTGTTATTATTTACTGTTTGGCCCTTTCTAAATCCCTTATTAGGACACAAGCTTCACGCAGGTAGGGCGCTCGGCCTCTGTACCTCAGCAACGCCTCGCTTCTCCCAAAGCCGCTTCACAAAAACCCGCGGAAATGAGCGAACACCTGTGATCCGCATCTCTCTGATCACGAACGCGGATGAGCATCGCCATCTGATCACAGGCCACACGTGTTTCCTCTTTTGTGAACTGCCCGTCCGCTCGTTTGTCCACTTGTCCACATTTTCTTTTTCATCGATTTATAGGGAACGCTTTAGGGTCTCGCGACGCTAATCCTTTGTTAGTGTGCTTATTCACTTTATTTATAACCAGCGCCTGCCACAGTGCACAGCGGGCAAGGATGGAGTCACGACCATGCGACAAATGTGTTCCGCTTCCCATCGGTGTGGGTTCACACTTGGGAGGGAACAAGGGAAAAGCCCGCTTAAAAATAATCCAGGGAGGCCTGGGTGGCTCAGTCGGGGTAAGCTCAGGGCATGATCTCATGGTTCGGGAGTTCGAGCCCTGCGTCGGGCTCTGTGCTGACAGCTCAGAGCCCGTTTCGGATCCTCTGTCCCCTCTCCCCACCCCCCCACCTCCTCTCTGCACCTCTCCTGCTCCTGCTTGCACTCTCTCTCTCTCTCTCTCAAAAATAAACAAACATTAAAAAAAAACCTTAAAAAACTTAAGCCAATAATTATGAGGCAGAGAAATCGTGCAACCTACCCTGGCAAGCAGTCCCCGCAGACGGCGTCGCTGGTGACAGAGCAGTTGGCCTTCTGGAAGCGGTTCACCACCGCGCACTCCAGGCACGGCTTGCATTTCTGAAAGCCCCAGTCCTCCTTGAACCGGTGCGGCCGGCATGTCAGGCACCGGGCATCCTCCCCGTAGCCAAAGCCACATTCCTGCAGGGATTCACAAGCACCAGAACGCTATTCAGACGTCGCAAGTGTGAAAAAGACGAAAAAGACAGCGGGGATAAAAGGAAGAGCTGGTCTAATAACTACGGAGTGGGTTTTCCTGGACACAAAGGCAGCTCTTCCGGCAAGTTCAAATGTGTCTCCCGCTGCTAATCATCTCTCTTACTGCATTAAGTATTCTTAGTCATCCACTTTATTCAAGAAGCCACGAGCATTTGCATAAGAAAGGTCCCCTGGGACCCCCTGCTGCTGCATTATGGCCAGTTTATGGCAGAATTATGGCCCTTTCTTCTTCTCCAATTAAGCCAGTCATGTGCATGTTCAGAAACTGAAGTCAGAGAAAAACTCAGACGCTTACTTACTTATCAGGGCAGGAAATATGGACTCTGATAGCAACGGTGATAGTTTCTTTTTTTTTTTTTTCCACTTTTATTCATTTACTTATTTATTTTTTACTATGAAATTTATTGTCAAACTGGTTTCCATACAACAACAGTGATATTTTCAAACCGAGGCTAACCGGGTAAGAAATTTCCTAAGCTGACGATCTGGAAGGTCTACCCAGAAGAGGGCACCTTGAAATGTTCAGCCGTTTATGGTTGTGTGATAGTAGGAAGGTTCCTATTTCTTAGAAGAATACGGAATTCTTGTTTGGATTCAACTGTGTGACACCAAAGGTCCAAGGATGAGCAGCACACATGGTTCATTTCCACAAGGTCCAGAACCAAATAAATCATAGCCTGCCGTGTAATGCAAATACGATGCAACAACACGAAGAATGGTGTAGACACGTGTTCACAATCGCTTTAAAAATAAGTCATAACACAGAATGAGAAGTACGTGTCCGTCCCTTACAAAAGCATTAATAATTAGTGTAATTATTATACTCAGTGACATTGAGTTGGTTAATAATAATCAATAACATCAATTGGGTTACTCGGTGCACATTATCTCATGAATTCGTACTTCTTCCCGATGAGGGAACCACCATCATTATTCCCATTTCATGAATGGGGGTAGGGAGCTTCCCAGAAGGTATGTACCTGAACCCAGGTGACATAGCTAATGTTAGAAGCAGGATTTGAACCTACCCAGTTGAACCCCAGAATCAGATTCCACACCACCTCACTGTGGGATCTGTCGGGTACGTTCTCTCTCCGTCTGGAGAGCATACCGAGCAAGCCCACAAACACAGCTCAATGCAGCAGAGGAGAAGAGCCCCACCAATATCTCTTGGCTCCCTCCCCTGTAAACTTTGGATGCAGAATGCAAATCCCCGCTCATTCAAAATGCCCATTTGCCTATAAAACTTACATGCCTAAAATCCTTGATCTGTAGTTACATCCACAGTCAGCTAAGCGGTATTTATCGGTCAAAAACGAAATCAAAACAAACACAAAGGGTAGTGTCCCTGTACTCAATAAGCTACTGAATAAAATATTCAGAATATTTTTGGCTAATGAACTCGTTCACGTCTTAGAGGAGCAGTACGTTCCTTCCTCATTTCAGTTACTCAGCTCGCCTTTCACATGTGAGCCCTGAACATGCACAACAAAGGGTAGGGGACCAAGAAAGCAGAAGGTCAACAACCTTCTTAATCCCTAGTGTCCTAAACCAAGGCACAGACTGAAGGGAAAAAAAAATCTGACTTGAAGAATGGATTCACTAGAGATTATCTTTGGGTGGGGGGGGGGGCGGGGGAGAGGGGGATAGTGAAATTATGAGGTGTTTTGAATTTTCATAATTCTCTGATAATTTACTCTTTGGCAAAACGCATCTATGACTCTGGCAACCAGGAAAACAACAAAGATACATATTCAAAAAGAATTTCTTGGGGGGTACACTAGGTCTTTGCAGGGAGGTCCCTGCTGGTTTTGGTGCTTTGTACGTGGGCGCTGTGCTTCTGCACGGGGGCAGAAGTGGGTTTTTGCCCAGTACGTTAGTTGCCGAGAGAGCCGAGTGCATCCCAAGGCTCTCTTTCAGTATAGATGGGAGCCGCCCTGTCACAATCTTCCGGGATCAAAGGGTGGTAGGTGTGACATTTGGGTAGGGGCGTGGGGACCTCGCTGTCCACAGGTTCGGCACCTCCACGTCAAAGGTTCACGCAAGAGCCAAGTTTCAAAATCACACTTGGATCCAGGCGGCTGGGACTGGAAGGGTCTCATATACAAGTTACAACCCAACAAAGAAAGAAAGGAAAAAGGAAGAGGGCAGAAGAGGCAAAACAAAGGGAAAGAGAAATGAGAAAGACAAGAAGGTGTCTTAGCTGGGAATACATGAAATGCCGTTTTTCCAGCGAGGCTGATATGGAAGAAAAAGTGTGTCTGACAATGGAGCCAAAGACACATGAGCTTGAAGGCCAACGTTGCCACTCGTCAGCTAAGCTATTTGGGGAACTCTGATCCTCAGTCGCTACATCTGTGAGAGGGGGTCAGTACTCGCCTGCCCTCCAGGGCTGTTTTGAGGAATAAAAGGGAAAAAAACATAGACAAGCTGTAAATTATAAATCGAGCACAGGGTGAGCGCTCACCAGATAAATGATACCTTTTAGATTCTCTACGGCCCAACAAACCAACTGTTCTGATTTAAGTATGATAAAGCCCCACTGGGGACCTTCAGGCTCCAGTGTTTTGCCGGGTTACCAGAAAGACCTCTTTCCACCTAAATTATTTTCGTTGAATAAAATAGGTCTAAAACGGAATTATCCGTCTTTTAACAACGGTACGTGGAATACAATTTAGCCGCACCTGCCTGGGTCAAGTGCGTGCGCTGGGTGGGCAGTTTGCGGTTTTAATTCCCCTGCCGGGCAGTGAACAATCATTCTTGCTCCTGCTCAGTATCTCTGCCTCCAGCAGTTCACTTCCTCTTCCATCCTGAGAAACAAACTAGACAGACAGCCAAGTGGACACCAACTTGAAAGAACTACAAGTAGGTGTTTTGACGGGTCTCATCTCTTTTGAAAAACAACAAATACTTTTGAGTCCTGACTGGATTCCAGAGTTTATAATGGTACACGGGAACCGTTTTGACCCCCGTATTTCTGCCATATACCATTGTGTGTCATTTACATGTCGTTATACTTCATAGAATGAGGATTTCGTGAAGCTTTTTTTTTTTGGTCCATTCTAAAGATTTTATTTAAAAAAAATTTTTTTTAATGCTTATTTATTTCTGAGACAGACAGAGACAGAACATGAATGGGGGAGGGGCAGAGAGAGAGGGAGAAGCAGAATCCCAAGCAGGCTCCAGGCTCTGAGCTGTTGGCACAGAGCCCAACGCGGGGCTCGAACTCACAGACCACGAGAATGTGACCTGAGCCGAAGTCGGCCGCTCAACCTACTGAGCCCACCCAGGCACCCCAAGATTTTATTTTTTAAGTAATCTCTACACAGTGTGGGGCTTGAACTGATGAACCCAACATCAAGAGTTGCATGCCCCAGGGACTGAGCCAGCCAGGTGCTCCTTTCTAGTCCATTCTATATTGGACCAAATTACATATGAAAAAAAACAACAAAGCCAGGCTCTAATGCATCATAATTTTGCCTTCATTGTCTGGATATTAATTTACTAGTTCTGCTTAGATTTTATATGTTTTACTGGCAACAATAGTAATTTTGGAGTAGATTTAGGTGAGAGGTTGATCACAAAATAATACCTAAATGTACTGAACAGGTACAGTGAACCGTATAGTCTCCTAGGAACCTTTATACAGAGATTGATTATTTGAAGGAATTCAGTTTAAAATATATTTTCTCTAAAGCATTTGTCACTTTTTAAAAGACAACATTAAAACACCGACCTAATATTATTTTTAAACTTTTAAAACATGCTTGCACTTCATGATGGTCTAAGGAACTTATAAAGTGATCGTTCTGTATTTGAGAGGAATCTGAGAAACTTAACAGAAGACCATGGGGGAAGGGAAGGGGAAAAGCAGTTTCAAACAGAGAGGGAGGCAAACCCATAAGAGACTGAAATACAGAGAACAATCTGAGGGTTGATGGGGGGGCGGGGAAAATGGGTGATGGGCATTGAAGAGGGCACTTGTTGGGATGAGCACTGGGTGTTGGATGGAAGCGATGAATCATGGGAAGCTACTTCCGAAGCCAAGAGCACACTGTATACTCTGTATGTTAGCTAACTTGACAAAAAATTATACTAAAAAAAAACAACAACCAGAAATCTTGAATTAACCATTGAATTAACCAGAAATTCAGAGAAGGTATTTCCGAGGAATTAAGTGACAGCATGGTGTCCACGGCAGCAATCGCTTTTAGAGCTAATTGTCTTATTTCTAAAGCACCATAAACAGAGACCCTGCAATTATTTGAAATCCAGGCTATAAAGTAAACAGCATATAAACATTAAATTACCCCCCAATATAAATGTCTACTTTGATGTTTTTATTTCATTCAGTAAAAGTAGGTGGTTAAAATGCCTTGAAACCTTTCCCATTAAGTTCAATAAATAACTAGCGAGAGAAAAAGGAAAAAGGCCAAACGGCGTAGAGAATGGCCCCCCAGCCTCCTGCCCAGAGTAACACTGCTGAGAGAGCACTGAGACTGTGCCTTTGTAACCCTGTGTCCTCTCCCCTAGGGCCAGTGACTGTTTCTGCTGTCTTTTCATCCCTTTTTATGCTGAAAAAACTTCCACTGCACACAAGATTTGTATTAAAAAAAAAAAAAAATCAAACAGTGCACCTTCCTTCCCATCCCTGGTCTCACGTCCCGTTCCCTCCACACAGGCAAACACTGCCACCAGCTTTTGGGAGAACCTCCCGGAAACATCCCAATGTCTTCCGCGTGCGCGTGCTTTTTTTAATTTTTTTTTTTTTTAACGTTTATTTATTTTTGAGACAGAGAGAGATAGAGCATGAACGGGGGAGAGTCACAGAGAGAGGGAGACACAGAATCCGAAACAGGCTCCAGGCTCTGAGCCGTCAGCCCAGAGCCCGACGCGGGGCTCGAACCCACGAACCGTGAGATCGTGACCTGAGCCGAAGTCGGCCGCTTAACCGACCGAGCCACCCAGGCGCCCCCACACGCGTGTGTTTAAACACGCTGTTCCGCAACTAGTTTTTCAGTTTCCCCCCCCTCGGTGCGTCTGCATATGGAGAGCCCGCCATGGTGCGGCTACAGCTGAATCCATTCCGCTGGAGCCCACTCACCCTGCACCCCAAGTACCGGGACGGAGGGGGCAGCCGTGGGCGTCCGCTGAAGTACGCGGGCCCTGGTCAGTGGCCTAACTCTGCCGCGGATGACAACAGCATGCCACCTTTTGGGCCTTCCCTCCGTTACTTTTGGGTAGAAAGGGGGCAACTCCCCTAGGCGTGCGGTTTTCCCCAGCAGGCTAGTATACTGCCGCTGGGAAGAAAAGAAATGGTAGGAATGGGTTTGTGGTGAGGGAAAACAAAGAGTCCTCAGAAAAGAGAGTAAGCTGGCCGTGCTGACTGGGGTCCCGCTGAGCTTTCTGAGCAGCCTTCACGGGCTCCTGGGAGCTGCCTTCCCAGTTAGGCCCCAACCCCGGGCCTTGTGCTCCAGAGCCCGTTGTCTGAGACTCCTGTGCCTGCTTAGCCAGAATCCCCTACCCTCCTATCTGCTCACCCTCCATACCTGGCCAAATTGCTTCCTGCCCCTCCACCCTCTGGCCACCCTGGCCTGCCTTCAGCAAGAATCCTGTTAGGCCTGCTTTAGCCACAATCCCCTTTCCCCTGATGTTTCCTCTTAGGAATTTTCCGTCCACTGCCCCCCACCTGGCCCCTTGGCTAAAATCCCCTCTTGTCCATGTTGTATTTGGAATTGAGCCCAGTTCCATACTGAGGCCTCTCTTTCCCTATTGCGATAGTTCCTGAGCGAAGTCTGTTTTTACGGCTTTCCCCTCTGTCCTGCTGTGGTTCTCTGAAACTTCCCAGGTCACAACTAGGGCTCTCCCTCTCACCATTTCCTTGGAAGGACCACATGTGTGTTTGGTGAGGGAGGATACGTGGGAGGGGACCGGGACGGGAGTGGGGGCGTTAGTCATCAGCCTGGGTGTCCGCATTAGAGATACGACTTTTATTTTTATGGCGCGCCGTCTGGCCATTCATATCAGTGGTAGAAATGCATTTAGCCTTCAACATAATCCTAGAGTCTTTAGTTTTGAAATTACGACTTGGTACCTTTGGAGAAATACTTACGATGTCCCTGAGTCCCTGGGGAACCTTTTTTATTAATGAGCTTGGAGGTGGGAAAATATACACGTGAAGAATAACCCATTAAAAAAAAACATTACAAATAAATAAATAAATAAATAAAGCACAGCTATAGGAGCCCTACCTATTTCCCCAGATCCTACAATAAGAGAACAATCCCCAGTATCTGACGCCTCCCTCCACCACTCTCTCCCCAGAGCCTCTCAGAGTACGTGGTACTTATGAAGCTTCTTCGCTTGACCAAACTTCAGCCAGGATCCTTGACCTTCCTCTGGGCCCATCCGTGTACCTCCTTACAAAATCCAGCCTTAGCAAATGCTCTGCTCCGTCAGCTGCACCAGAACCACCCACCCTTAACATCTGCTCACGTTCCTCCTCCTCCGTTTGAAGCTCGGTCACCCTGGCTTATCATCTCCAGCAGAGAATTGTTACATTTGCGTTGACCAGGCCCCCCCTGCCCCCGGCTGCTTCCCCTCAGCGATCTTCTACCCGCTGCCCCTTGCTCCTTGGCGATCCATTCCCGTGAGCTCATGCTGCACGGGGACGGAGCCCCCTGGCTCCCCCCTCCACTGTAAGATCCCACAGTGGCCGTCCCCCTCCATCCCTAAAGCCTGCCTTGCCATCCTTAAAAAGTGCCATGGAATACCTTCTTCTTTAACAACGCATACCAGGCCGGTGAGTAACACAGCAATGTTTGCTGACCAAACAATGGATGAACGAGTATGCTTGAAGGCACCATTTCCTAAGTTGTTGTGGTTTCATTAGTAGTATCATTATTGCTTTATTGTAGGCAGCGCTAGCCTACAGAGGCCACGGCAGCGTCCCACGTGGTAAGGCCACGTAGACCGTGTGGGCTGGTGCAGGTGGGCGGCGTGGGGTGTGTGTGTGTGTGTGTGTGTGCGTGTGTGTGTGTGTGAGCGGCTTCCTTATCTTGGTTCCAAGGCAGGAGAAGGGCTGCGTCCAGCTGGGCCATTTCCACCCAAGCTGGCGGCAGCAGGAGCTCTGACACCCTGCCCAATATTTTTAAGCCACGTTTGGTGGCTTTCCAGTGGCAAAACGACTCAGAGTAAACAGTCCTCAAATCCCCTTCTCTCTCTTCGCCCTCTGCAAATTCAACACTTAGCAAAAACACAAGTGGATCCCACCTACACGCTCCCGGAGCAGCGCCCCAGACCAGAGGGGAGACGCTCACAGACCATCGACTGGCCAGGAAGCACATCCGGGGGGCCTCGGGTCGAAAGCACTATTCACTTGGAAAGCAAGCCGGTAAGTTATTAACTTTGGTTCTTTGAACTTTAAAAGCTCAAATCTGGACCGAGAAGAAGTTATTCGTAGAGAAAGTCTAGCGCATGCAAATGGATATGACACATTAGATTTATGTGCCTGGTATTTAGAAATCAGCTTTCTAATTTCCTTTAATAAAACAACACCAAAGACAGTTCCCGCCCCCCCCCCACCTCCACCAACTTCCAGTTTATGAAAATCTGTAACTGAGTTTTTTAAAGAAAAATTACAAGCTAGAGCTTGCTAATATCTGCCAAACACCGCTGGGCTCGATTAGGTATAATTAAACAGAAATAAAGTGAGCAACACTGTAATTAAATGGCAGAAATGAATCTTTTTCATGCTTGCAAATTACTCTAATTTTTTTTGTGTGCATGTGTGACTTTCTTCATGGGGATGAAAACAGCTTTCCAAAAAGTAGATGTCTTCAAAAATCGGAAGCCAGGCACGCACCCGTGGGGAGCAAAGTGTGTTGTTGTTTACGAGAATTAATTTTTTCACATTAGCAAAAGTCCTCCCAATAATTGGTTAGAAAAGCTTCCTTTGAAAACCGTGCCAGAAGCTTGAAGACTATGTCAAGTGGTTCATGCAAAAACTAGTTTCCTGGTTTACTGCTGGGAGGCGATCATGTTAAAAGCACATTGTTGGCAATAATACTCGGTGAGGAGGAGGGGCTGTGGCCGCGCAGATTCTAGACGGTAAGAAGTAAAAGGCTAATGTGGTCACTCGGGGAAAACAAAAGTCATCCTCTCCCACATATCGCCAAGCTGCTTATTTTCGTAAGCCGCAAGGCCAGCCGTGTAGCTCTCCTGTGCACATTCGTGGCTCCAAACGTCCAGCATGTACCGCTTATGGAGCTATGAAAACAACAGTTTGTATTTTTTTGCCTCAGAAATAGGAAGAAGGCATTATCAATTCTCTTCCTCATAAACTTTTGAAACCTAAGCCCCGTCATGGAAGAGGAGGCGACTATGGTTCCATGGGAGAGCGTCCTCAAAGCCGACCCCGCTCGGCTCCATGGCCTGTCCTACACTTTCCCAAAGACACAGAAAGATGACCCGCGAGCCTGCATGACTAAAAAGAACTTGACTGAGTAGCCAGGATGCTTGGGGCTTTCAGGGAAAGAACTGGAAACCAAAAGAGCTAAGTCCGGAAGACAGCTCAGAAGGCACAAGAGGGGGACACAGAGGGCACCACCCGGTGTGAGGAGCCACACCCAGGATGCCCATGTGGCCGGACCAAACAGAAGCAGAAGCAGGTGGGTGTTTGGAGAGCAGTGGCCGGGCCCAGGGCTGCTCAGACGAGGAAGGGGAGGAAGAAGGCTGACCAGGAAGGCAGCTCCTGGAATGCACAAGCATGAGGTCAACATGATTTGGAGATCCCTTTGTTTTAGAAGTCGGTCCTGGGCCAGAATTTTGGGAGGAACGTTCACCACTCTAGAGCTGCAGTGTCTAATATGACAGCCACAACTGCGTGTGGCAAAACTCAAATTTAATCAATTACAACGCAATAAAATGTAAAACCCAGTGCTTCCGGTGACACAAGCCACCTTTCAGGTGTTCATGAATACATTTCAAGTGGCTTGTAACCCCCGTGTTGGCCAGTGGAGACACAGACCATTCCGTCATCGCAGCGAATTCAACCGTAGCACCGTACTCGAGCATTATTCAAAATGAGAAAAAGACCATTACTCCCATGTGGCCCCACCGCCTTCTCCCAGCACATCACTTACTAACGGTGACAATGGACTGATCCACTAACCATCTCTGTGTCTGTTTCCTCATCTATAAGACAGGAGGCGTTATACCCTCTATTTAAGACATATGTTAAAAGGACTCCAGTAGTTAATATATAAATACCACATAGAACCTGGCTCATTATAATAAACGTTAGCTAATACCTATTGGTTGCATGATATGTATTGCAGAATAACAACCGAAAGCATATTTGAGAAGCAGTGCATATTTGTTACAAGAAATCCTTTTCATGCACATAACCCAAAGTATCCTGGGTGAAAGGTCAAACTAGATAATCATTTAAAAAGTGGCTAATTGGGGGCATCTGGTTTCAGTTCAGGTCATGATCTCGTGGTTTGTGAGTTTCAGCCCCACGTTGGGCTCTGCACCGACAGGGTGGAGCCTGCTTGGGATATTCTCTCTCTCCCTCTCTCTCTCTCTCTCTCCCCACCCCCCGCCCCCCCCCCAAAATATATAAACTTAAAAAAAAGTGGGTAGCAAAGGGAAGGGTCTCAATCTAAACAAGCAACAATAGTTATTATTGAGCCTGGAGCTTCTGTGCAGACTTCTTACTATCTAATAATTGAAAGGAAGTGAAAAGAGGTCAGAGGAACCACTGACCACACATGTCAGGTGTACCAAAAAGCATACTGTCTCCAGGAATGCTATTCCGGTAACTTCCCCCAAACCCAACTACATGTTTTAAATGGCAGAGACCTGACAATGGGAAAGTCAGCCCAGGCATCTTGAGGAAAACAAAAAACAAACCAGAATTGAATGCATTCCAAAGAAAATAATCATTAGGAGTAATAAAGCCACAGATGGAAATATTAACTCTACCTGCTTACCCAGAGTATTTCCAGGCTTCAGGTTTAAGACATAAACACGTTTATAACTTGAAGAACCTCATGACCCAGTCTTTTGGTATTTTGGGTAGAGACAAATGATATTAGAAAATGGACATCAAGTTTAAGTTATGTTTACTACAGCAAAACAATTAACTTAATAATGTTAGAATAATAGTTATTTGAAAGCTTTCCTGTCTGGTGAAAATGCACTTTTTTTTTTACCCTTAATGTAAAGAAAACTTTAGTTGTGATTATCAGTAATTTGATTCAGCTTTTCTACTTTTTAATAACTCACTTTAAAATAT